TGAAAAATAAATAAGTAAATAAATGAATAAGTAAATATTATTTATGTTTAAAAAAAAACCCAAATCCCCAAATAAAACAGAAACCAACTAAATATCTGAGCAGAAAATGAGCAAGATGACAGCTAGAAATTATAACAACAGAGTGCATTCAGATAGAAAAAGTATACACCACACCCACGCCGACCCACGATCAAGCGCAGGCGCGACAAGGGGGTGAAAGGTCAGACGGAGAAGAACAAAGTGTATCTGACTGATCCGAGCGGACGCGCATACAGTGCCGAGCGGAGAGCGAGGGTTAATTGAGCTCGCAGGGCACGTCGCACTCCCTCGTATCTCCTTGCTGGTCTGTCATATTTGTGGCGAAGAATTCTATTATTTTCGTGTCATCTGAGCCATCCATTACAATATTCAGTGATGTTGGGTGATTCAGCTCGAATTTGTGGATTTTATTCTCATTTCTTCTCCCTTTACTCTGCGACCGAGAAAAAAAATATTGCGGAATTATAATAGGTTTAACGCCCCTTTCAACACTGTAGGGTCATTTGAGGCGGAGCATCTGAATTCAATTTCCACCTTCACGGGACCGAGGCAAATTGGTTTGTTTGTTTGTTTGTTTGTTTGTTTGTTTGTTTGAGTAAAGAGAAGCACATCGACTCAACAAAGGTCATTTAGTGCTGGGAAAAAGTAGGACAGATATGCAGAAACAAAAGAGGGAAGGTAAAAAAAATAGGACCTACCAGTGGCGCCCTCCAACCACCCGCGGCAAATTGGGTGGGAAGCCTTAAGTTAAAAGCTCCCCCAAAACAATCTGTGAACATGCTTTCGGACACGCGTAAGCGAACATAATACAGACTTCAACATAAGTTAAGGACCACTTGCAAACATTATGAGTGGTCTTATTGGGCCGACCTGTACGTGGGCGCTCCAGTGGCTTGATGGCGCTGTCTCAGGCGGACAATGACAGAGTGTGACCCTGCAAACCTTCTGGTAACTTTTCGGGCTCCAACCCCATACTGCAGCCATGCCATAGCTTTCGCACGATCAAAGCTTTTCAGCTTTCATCTTGGTGGCACATTGATGCGATACTGGATTTTGCGCAAACGGCGGCTTATTGCCACCAAAGTGAGCTCAGTTCGAGACCATACGTCCGCTTATGACGTGCACCATAAATTTTTACTGAGGAATGCCCGTTGTGTCGCACACAAGTCGATAAAAAACAGCAAATATGGCTAAAATTCCCGGAGGATTTCCGTGCAGCACGTGATGGGTTTGCCTGTTTTGGAAGCATTGCAGTACGCATTGGTAACCCATTAACACTTTCAGAACAAAATATTTTGAAACATTCCTTGCTGTCTTTTTTCTGATAAAAAAAAAATCAGGGCTGTCTGTCAAGGTGGTCCTTAACTTATGGTGAAGTCTGTAGTATGTACACACACATGTTGTTCAAACCATAACAGAGCAACCCCTGATCCGTAGTCTAGCTTGACACTACATGTGTCTGGGCTACCGGAGAGCCTATGCTGCGACTGTTTACTTAAAAAAACAACAAATAAACCATCGTTCAGGTTGCAACATGGCCTTTCCATCATTGTCTACTCTGAAAACTTCAAGAGCTCAGCCGATTCAAATACTTTCGAAATTGTGTAAAACAGCAACCGCCATCCATTTTCGAGGAAAAAATAGACAGAAGGCTATACATAGTCGGTATAATGTAAAAAAAAAGCAAAAAGGAGGAAATGTAATGTGGCCGTTTATAGTGGTGATTGTTTTATACAGGTGGCCGTTGTAGTGGTGATTGTCTTATACAGGTGGCTGTTTGTAGCGGTGATTGTCTTATACAGGTGGCTGTTTGTAGCGGTGATTGTCTTATACAGGTGGCTGTTTGTAGCGGTGATTGTCTTATACAGGTGGCCGTTTATAGTGGTCATTGTCTTACAGAGGTGGCCGTTTATAGTGGCGGTTGTCTTATACAGGTGGATGTTTATAGTGGTGATTGTCTCATACTGGTGGCCGTCGGAACAGATTTAAACACAGGCACAAGACTGTGGACTGTCGCTTCCGCGGTCGGAGGTCCTTATTCTATTCTAAAGTCTGTTTGCTTTGAACAAATCTCCAATGCTCTCCACTTTGTTTTGTCGGAAAAGGACATTGAGTCAGCGACAATTTCCTTAGATTAAAGCCAATATCTGTGAAGGATGATACGACTTTGTAAAAATTCCAAAACTTAAGTCCTCTCAAACGCGCCCTCCCCCCCCTCCCCACTCCCGACTCGTAGAACAAATAATAATCAGCTGACGTGACGCTTACCGTGGCCATTGTGTTCTCAACACCCTACTAGATATAGATATTATTACCATCGTACATCTTCATCAAAAAGAAAATAAACAATTTTTTAGATAAATAGAGCGCAGTGATGATGGAGTGTCTAGTCTAGTAGACAGAGTAAAAGTAGGAACGAACAAAAATAAACAACCCATTCCAAAAAGAAGACAAAAAAGATACAATCAATAAAAATAAATACCACACACGCACGCCAAGCAAGCATAAATTTCATTCCACCATTAGCGGGTTTGGACCTCCTGCTTGTGCGTAGCGTGTATATTTATCCCCCCTCCCCTTTAACCCCCTCCCCTCTCACCCCTCCTACTGTGAGGTGAGTACATCATTATTAGACAGGTTACATGGCTTTGGGTGCTGTTTCAGTTTGCCCTCTGGCCCGAAGATGCTTTGGGGACAACGCATGGTTTGCTTCAAAAGTGTTGGGCACACACACATGTACGCGCGCGCGC